TTATTAAATACTGACAAAGAATAAACTAAAGTGACCAAAATAAATATAACAAATAAATAAATGGACCCCCCATCATGCTGCATCATGCTGGGTGGTTGTTCAGGTCTTTGAAGGCGTTGATGGAGGAGCTCTGATTGGTCTCCATCAGATGTGAATGTTTCTGACCCGATCAGTGACTTTGTGTCTGCAGGTGGAGAAGGAGCTGAAGTCCATCTGTGGGGACATCCTGGACGCGCTGGACAGACATCTGCTGCCCTCTGCAGCCATGGGAGAGTCCAAGGTCTTCTACAACAAGATGTAAGTTCCTGCAGCGCTGGGTGTCGGGTGAGGGAATGACGCTGGGAAGCTTGGAGGGGATGAGGAACTCCTCCAGGCGGAGAATCGAATCGTTGGGTGAAGTAGGGCTGCAACTAACTGTTATTTAAAATCACTTAATATGTTGATTTATTCTCTCAATTAATCGATTAATAATCAAAGATTATGTTTTAAGAAATTAAACCAGGTGAAACTTTTCCACCTGAGGAGGTCTGAATACAGCAGATTGGAAGAAAAAAATATATTTTTTTTTATCTTAAATCAGAATCAGAAATACTTTAATAATCCCAGAGGGAAATTACTTTTGTTACACGCTCTAGTTACAGTTTTACATGATTTATACACACATCCAACTATAAAAATGTAAAATAAATGTAAAATTAAATGTAAAATATTTCTAATTTTTAGTTTTTTACAATGTTGGTCTAATTCCTGCTCTAAGCGGTTCGCTCTGTCAGCCTGTTCAGAGTCTCTGTACTCCAGTTAACGATTAATCCTTTACTGAATTAGTTAATTATTTCAATAATGATTGTTTCTTAGAGCCGCTGTCTCACCGAGCTGTTTAATCCAGCGTCTGCCTGCCCCCCCCCCCAGAATCTCCTAGAACGCTGCCATACGCTGCACTTTGTCTTTTTTCAATGTTGGACGTAAACATAGAGGATTCATAACGAGTCCAGAACTTCTGTCCAACGACGGCCTAACTTCTGCATAACCACGGCAGCGTAACGACCAGGAAATGATCCACAGGTCAGAGTCCTGAGGGGGGGCGGCGATGCGCCCGGAGGCGCCTGGTCTGCAGAAAAAGATTTATTTGATCGCGGTATTAACCTGGCTGCTGTTTACCTCAAAAAGAAAAAGAAAGAAAGAAAGAAGGTTCTTGGTGGCAGCAGATAGAGCGTCATGTCTGCATCAGGAAGTTTGTTGGTACACACACACACACACATATCTATCTATATATCTCAGGGTTTCCGCGGGTCATTAAAAATCTTTAAAAGTCATCAAGTTATAATTTTTTTAATTAAGGCCTTAATTGGCATTCAAATTCATTAAATCTGTTTATTGTAGCATTTAAAATGATTTATTAAAAAAAAATTTATAAAAACGATTTCGTCAGACATATTATATCACAATATATTTGTGAGGAACTGCTTCCGGTTGATCGCAAAGCTGCATGTTCAGAAAAGGAGCTTGATTCGGAGAAAAAGTGAGAGAATGGGGGGAAAAAGAGCATATTTGAACAAAAGTGGCTGGAAAACGAGAAATTCAGGACCTGGCTGCAGCCTGTCGACCGGTACCTGTTGGTGGCATTAAAGTTATTTCTAAGATCATTAAAATTAAATTATTCATTCCTGTATAAACCCTGTGTGTGTGTGTGTGTGTGTGTGTGTGTAATCCGTAGATCAATAATTCATACATGATGTTGGTTTTTCTCTCCTTTCTGGAGTCTGACGCTGAGAAGGTTTGGATGTTTTCTCATTCGCTCCTTTCTGTTTGCTCTCCTGCGGTCAGGAAGGGCGACTACCACCGGTACCTGGCAGAGTTCGCCACCGGCAACAACAGAAAGGAGGCGGCGGAGAACAGCCTGGTGGCCTACAAAACGGCCACGGACCTGGCCATGCTGGAGCTGCCGCCCACGCACCCCATCCGCCTCGGCCTCGCCCTCAACTTCTCCGTCTTTTACTACGAGATCCTCAACTCGCCCGACCGCGCCTGCAGGTGAGCGTCCTCCAAACAGCCGCGTTCCTCCGATTCAACCAGGAGTGGCTCACTGTCACTGAGAAAAAACGGTTTGATGACCATCTGGGCGCTTTTAGGGGCAGACGATTCTGAAGGTTCAGGACTAATGAGTGAAGTTGGCCCCCCCAGCTTCTTCAAATCAGACAAATTTAGTGTCAAACGTTTTTGCTGGTTTGTGCAGCAAAAATGTTCGCTTGTGCCGCTACCATTTTAAAGATATAAAGAGATGTTTGTAGAGGTCATCAAAGGTCAACCAGCCCCCCCACCTTCTTCAAATTAGACAAAATGGGTGTCACACGTTGGTGCAGCAAAAACAGATGCTAACTGACCTTTGATGACCTCTACAAAATATTATTAATATCATTAAAATGACAGCAGTACATATGAGCTTTTTTGCTATACAAAAATATTAAGTTTTAAAATAAATTTTAAATATAGAATATAAATATAAAATATTAAAAAATTTTGCTGCACAAACGGAGCCGAGTTTATTGACGCCCATTTTGCCTAATTTGAAGAAGGTGGGCGGGGTTTGACCTTTTGACCTTTACATTTCCATTAACATCTTCACAGCCGAAGCAGCACAAACGTTTGACTCTAATTTGGTCTGATTTGAAGAAGGTGGGGGGGGCTTAGAGTTAGTTAGTGACTAGTAATGGTTAGTTTAGGGTGTTGAGCTATGATCATGAAGCTAAATAAACCGATGGAGACGACACACTTTCTGATCGCTTTAAGTTTTTAACATTTGTGTTTTTTTTATTCTACAGGATAATTTCTCTCTTTTTTTATAATCTAAAATCTTAAATTGTTTACAAAAGAAAATGATTTTGGAAATAAAGCAGGAAGTCTTAAATTGGATGGATGAGTCAGGTTTGAAGCCATCCTTCCTGTTTTAGTGTATTTTAGAGGAGAAAAGTTTAAAGTTTGGATCCTGGAGCTGATCGGCCATCTTTGCTCCGCAGGTTGGCGAAGGCTGCGTTCGATGACGCCATCGCAGAGCTGGACACGCTGAGTGAAGAAAGCTACAAGGACTCCACGCTTATCATGCAGTTGTTACGCGACAACCTGACATTATGGACTTCAGATATGCAGGGAGAGGGTAAGGCCCCCCCCCCCCCCCCCCGCTATAAGCAGATCATTTATCTTCTAACTTCCTGGTTAAAGATTTTAAATCACTTTAAAATCTGCAGCCATGAAATGTTGCTTCTGTTCTCCAAGTCTTGACAGTGAAGATGTTCCCTGATGCTAAACTAGCTACAAAGCTTAGCATCAGGATTAGATGCGCTGCTTTTATTTATATCCCAGCGCGGGCTCCCAGGCCCTGCTGGTGATTCTTTAGGTTATTCCAGCTTTTTTCTTTCCAGCTTTTATTGTCATTCTAAGCGCAGAGCAACGAAATTCCCTCTCTGAATTTAACCCCTCCCCTCGGGGAGCAGTGGGCTGCCATTGTGCCTCGCCCAGGGAGCAGTGGGGGGTTAAGGGTCTTGTTCAGGGACCCAGGTTGGCAGTCTGTGCCCCTCTGTCTGGAACTCTGAACCTCTGGATTCTAGGCTCTTTGCCCCGCGCTCCTCTGCCGTTAACCAGCGGTTAGATTAACCGATGCCGGCGTCAGACAGCTTGGTCTCAGCAGCAGCTCCACAGGATCAGGAGCCAAAACACAGAAACAGCAAAGAATGACAGAGAGGAAAACATTGGGCCCCCAGGAGCCCTGAGCTCCATCTACTGAGCATCTCTGGAAGGAGCTGAAACAGGAAAGACAGCCTGAGGCTCCTGGATGAGGAGCAGAGGTCTGACTGACAGGAACAGGAACCATCGATGGCAGAGATCCACTCTGAAGGCTGAGGGACGTTAATATTAGAGTTTTACGTTTTTCAATAATATCTTTGAAATAACTTTTTAATGACTATCATCCAAACATGAGTCACAGAGAGGAGAGCAGGGATCTGTTCGCCGCTCTGAATCCAAGGAGGAAACGTAAAGCTTTACTGCAGTTAGGGATGTTTATTACGCCCTTTTTCTCCAGAGGTTCTAGAGGAGTTCATAGAACAGAGCCGACCTTCTTTATCAGCTGGTTGAGCTTCTGATGATGATGATGATGATGATGATGGAGGAAGAGATCTGCAGCTTCTGGAAGCAAAATTTAATAAACTTAGAATAATAATGATGGTAGAGTGAAGGAGGAACATCCTTTAGATCAGGAGTCTGTAACGTTTTCCAGGCCAAGGACCCCAAACTGATGGAGATGGAGCAGGGGCCCCTG